GATGTTGTTCATTTGATGACATGAAGTTTTTTTAAAGCTAATAATGATAATTATCTTTTTCTTTATTACTTAATAATAATAATAAAAGCTGCGTTAAATAAACTTTTACTATCGATACGAGTGTTTCTATGTTATACTACGCTCCTGATGATTTTCTTGTTCTTCTTCCATATGTTAGCAGAACAAATAACTTAGTATATGGATAGAGCACTGACGTGAGTACGAGCTTTTCGACAAATCAATTCATTGAAGAAAGTTTTAAATTCAAATAAGAAATATAATCCAATATTTTATGCAAATGAATCAAAATAACGTAAACACTTTGGTCTGTTTCTGTTTCGTGAGATTGAGTCTCGCATATCTCGGCTAAAACTAAACGTAATCTTTATTGAAAGTAGCCAAAAGATATCCCACAGATTGAGAATCATTTTGGTAAAAACAAATAAAAGAGCAATACTCTCCTCAGTGCAAAAAATAACAATTACTTTTTCTGAAAACAAGCTTAACATACTAAATATCACGTGAGATTTTCAATTTTGTTTTACTAATATCTCCGTTAATAGTCAACTTTTCGCAGCAATTCTTGTATCTTTTTTCCTCTTTGCGATGTACCGCATACTCACAATACCCTGTGAGGTTAAACCCGTCATGTCCCCATGAAAAATACACTAAATTTACCTCGATCGTTAACCATTTAATAAAGCTTGTCGATACAAATCTAGTCATGTATGTATGAATTCTTTGAGCTATCCATATAACGGTTACTTTTAGTGAGATGATTTCACGATCAAAATCTGACATCATTGCAGAGCACACGCGATTACACTGTAAATTTTTTCGCTACGAAAAGCATAATAATTCTGAGAAAATGTATTATAAAAGATGCTTCAAGAAAACAACTACTACGTGACAAGGCTACCGTATTTTACCTGCTAAGGACCTTCAAAAGTTTTCTGACTGACCTATCGAAGCTTGGCATCTTTCTTGCAGTTGCGGTCGTGAGATCGGATGAAACATCAACATTGAGGCTCTTGCCAATGTTAACGGTGATTTTTCATGAAGTTTTCTCAGAAACGATTTACAGTGTAATCGCATGTGCTCTGCAATGATGTCAGATTTTGATCTTGAAATCATCTCACTAAAAGTAACCGTTACATGGATAGCTCGAAGAATTCATATAACACAACAAACAATTTCAAAGCATTTCAAGGCTATTATTGATTAGAGGATATGAGGAATATAATTTCTACGCAGAGTACGTTTTAATTATTCGGTTAAGATACGATATTTATTCTTCCGGGAAGGAGAGCCCTTTATTTTGAATTTATATCTCTTGAACACAACTGTTGTGCATCCGCAAACGCCGAAGCCATACGATAGTAATATATAAATTATGTCATATTTAACTAAACATACGACAGTCGTTCGAGATCTGGAATATCCTCACACTCGAATTGATCGACCAGAAAATTACCGCGCCAGAGAAGGAAGATATTGTAAAGTCCTACGGTTACAAAAAAATTCCAATGCCCTACCATTACCATGGTAATGGTGAAAAAAGGATTTGAATTCCTGGTAATAGATGGTAAGTGATAACAAAAATTTAAATTCATGGTAATAATAGTGGTAACGGATACTTTTCAGATTCCAGTTCATACTTATACCATCTCTTTATTATAAATGGTATCGTATATCACTTGAGTGTATATAATACAGTCAAACGTTATATAACGTTCGGGCTAGTCCATCATCCTACATATCCTTTATTTTATGCCTTATGCACGTCTTTACGTTGTTTTTCTTTCCCTAAATACAGAATATACTTTTTTATATTTTTCATTTTCGTTTTTATGGCACTTTTATATGTTCCCTCGTTTACTTGATGTGAACTGAAACAGTCATTTCATCGATTATCATATCATTCAACCGATAATGAATGTTACTTGTTAATTAGTCAAATAACACATGGTCACTAAATTATTTTCTGTAGGATATTTTCGCAGCAAGTAAAAGAGGGAATTCATTATCAACCATTGTCATACCCCAAAGAAACAATAGTCCGTTAACAAAGTATTTTACTCAAAAGGACACTAACAAAAAAATCGCTTCTTCAAGTGTAAACCAGCAATTAATGCTGCTGATGTAAATCGAAGACTAAATGTATTAGAAGAGATTGTACCAGCGGTAGTTGCTGTTGAAGTTTGTTCATCATTTTTGCATTCGGTTTCGACTCGACCAATGGCATCTGGTAATGGACATTTTTCTGGTTCAAGTACGTGACAAATTGTTTTATTACAGGATGTTAATGTACATAATTCTTCAAGTATATAGGCTGTGGTGTGTGTTGGAATACATGTATTTGATGATGTACAACATTCACAGTTACAAACACTGGCAATATATACAGTCGATATTGTTGTCTTGTCTGTTAGTTGAGCATGAATTAATAAACCAACAGCAGCAGCAGAAATAAATAATACTAGTAAAAGTTTCATTTATTTTTTTAATTGAGACAGAAAACGAATAATTTATACTCGTAATATTTCAATTTTAATAAACATAACATGCTTATCTATATGTATATTAACGTAAAAGAGAGAGAAAGAAATGATGTAATCGTATTAGAGGTGAAGTAGGAGAATATATTGACTCATGAAAATTTCTTATCAGCGTTGACGTTATTCTAGAAATTGCTTTATATCGGAAGAAATGAATTTAGGCGGCCATATAATTATAATTGTGATTCTTAACTTTTTCATGTAAATCCGAAATGCTAAAAAGAAAGTAGAACGCCACAACTTCTGACTAGGTAGAGCTAACAATTCTACACAAAATGCTTTAAAATTTTGAACACCTGCAGTCCTTGTGCTAGAACATCTGCAAATTGTTTTGGTTTGGTACATACAGGGAAAGATATTGGTTTTAGAAATTGAGTCAAGAGCCGTTTCGCGTTTTGGTTTGATTTGAGAAGAAAAAGACTTTTCTGAACCTTTTTTGATCGTCTTCTTCTTACGCGAAAGTTTCATTAGAGAGTACCCCTATGGTTAACTCAAATTGCATCTATGCCAGAACACTTTTCACTATGTTCCAAACTATATCCTCTGACATGTGTCTAACGAAGTTTTGAGTCAGATATCAAAAGATTTTATTCAGTTTTTTGTATAGATCAGTTATTTTGCTTTTCTTTAGTGAAATATCCGACTGATCTTACAATGACATGAATCACGATCTTTTTTCATGGAGACATCTCTTCTCGCACATGCACGACGTATATCTTGATAGATATTCTCTTTTTCTCGGCGTTCTTCGCAGCGTTGTTTTCATTCACCACTATATTTTTTCAACACCTTTTTAAACCTACAGTGAAGAATTGAAAAAACAAGCTATAAATGTGGTTCTGCTCTGATCCGTTTTCGATTCAGATGAGCCATGGGCTGTGGGTGACTATCCTCACTTGTCAATCTGTTTAAGAGACGTTTTACCAGCCCAGCGAGAAAAGCTGTCAAGTGAAATTTTTTAACCTATAGCGTTTTTTCTATTTTTGGATTCTATGATCAAAACTGAGGTTATGAAAAAATTTTGAGATCGTTTGGACTTGATTTCGCTGAGTTATAGAATTTACAAAATTAGGTGTATTGAAGATTTTCAAAAGAGTGGCCTCTGTGACATTTTGCCTATAACTTCGTCAAATTTTATCCGTTCTATTTGAACAATGTCTCATTCGAAAGTCCATCAAAAAATCGACAAAATCATGTGTCTCTAAATTTAGAGACACATGATTATATTAGACAGAAATATATTTTTCCATTTTTTAGTTAAATTATTAAAGTCGATACATGGGAAGCAAACAGAAACAGTAGTCGTAGACGAATGGAAGAGGAAGATGATGATGAATTTGACGATAATCAGGTAGTTGAAGAGACTGGACAACGAAATAATTTAAGAACTTCAATGCGAATCAGTAATGAACAATCATCACCTCCAGCTTCCTCTCGAAACCGAGCAGCTTCCTGTCTATAACCACTTGTACCTTCATCAGGATACTTGATTTAATGTAAAAAGTGTGTTTTTATTCAAGATAGATTGATTTTAAAAAAAATGATAGTATAATTACTTTGATGGTAATAATTGCAAGCAATTTTTCAACATGTTCCTGAGGTCGTGAAAGAAAGTTTTATAGCTTATTTTGTAGAGAATTACGCGCTCTACAAAACGCACTAACTTACATTTTGCGGGAAATCTACTGGACGGAGAAAAATAAAGTTTATTGGAAAAATTTTGTTTTTAAAATTACTAAT